ATGTTTAGTGCAGTTAGATTTCTACAGAACGATAAATTTTCGTTTTGATATAATACGGAGCTAAAACATAGTGACACAAGGATCTCTGATTGCTGAATTGGAAAGATCGTACTTTGCAACGAAATGAAGATTATGGAATTCTGGTTCTGATATTAACACATTATTATGTAGCCCTCTGAAGTGAACAAAATACGGGTTTTGTTACAAATGATTTTATAGAACGACGCATAACTGTACCAAAGGTAAAAAAGTCTGGTTTGAAACTAGACTCCTAAATTCGCTATTCGCCAATTCTCGCAATGTTGTAACAAATTTGCATTTATTTCAGTAGCATTGCCATTCGATGCATTTGGAGGTAACGTTCGGACATTGCCTGCACCCGTTCGTAATTCTTATCAGTGCTTTGAAAGGAAACAATCTGAGTATGTTTTCCGCACACAATTCTGTGATAGGTATAATAGATATCAAGCAAAATGATACAGCCTCTGTATTCTTCTGAATTGTTGGAGACCTGCAATAATGAAAAGGCAAATTCTTACATAAATGAACACATAATGTTCATAATAATAATAATAATAATAATAATAATAATAATAATAATAATAATAATTAATAATAAATACATTTGACGAAATAAAAGTAGAAATGTCGGTGAAATCTTAGATTCAACAAAAATGTATGTAAGTGTTAGGACGGTTCCTGCAAGTCGCGCCTGCACTATTGAACGAAATCATACTTCACACGCGAAAATTGAAAAAGCACGATCTGATGAGTATATATGTCCATAAGAAATACCTGGTCACTCTCTCTGGCTAAACTCATTTTACCGGTTTTTCAGGCAGAAGTGTTCAGAAAGCGATCCAAAAGCCGCCCACGTGCGCGATGCATTGAACTGTTTTTGATAAACACATTTCATTAAAAAACACTGTATCTTCATCATTTTAGTTGTGAGGAGACGCCGAACAAGTTTTGAATATTTTTTAATTTTCGAAAAATTAGGGTTTTCAACCAACAAGAGTTTATTAAACATCGTTCAGATTATACAACAACAAAATTTAATTAAAAACTATAGAGTCTTTTTGAAAAAATCTGTTTAAAATATTGCCTATTTTTTATGCTAATTTTAGTAAAATTGAACTTCACCTTATTTGAAAATCTGGTTTTATAAAATGAAAAAATCTCCATCTTAAATATTTTTGTTTTAAGAACACGTCAAAAAAATTGAATTTTTGCAAGAGCTTTCAACGAACCTGAGACAACCACTTTCTTAAACGTCCTTTACAGTATCCAACAACAAACTGTAATTAATTACGATGTCCCATGGGCTTCATGTAAAGTACCTCCCAAAATGATATATCGATTTCAAACTCAAGAAGTCGCCAAATGAGCCGGATTAATAGGAAAATTTAATTTTAATAATTAACTTAGTTCAAAGAATAGGTCGCTCTAGTTGGGGTTCGAACCTGGGGTTTCTGTTGTGACCACTAAGCTACCGAGACAACCAATCCTTTGAACAGTTTTCACTACCGCAATTATCGCTCTTTGTATGTATATGAATGTCATCTTTCGCGTCATTTAGTTGGACGCACTTGTGATGTGCGTTATCGCTCCTTTTGCGTATATACATGTCACCTTTCCCGTCACCTTGTTGGACGCAATTACTAATTGTGTCCAACAAGGTGACGCGAAAGGTGACATTTATATACATAACACGAGCGATTCTGACGCTCCTGAAAACTGTTTACAGGTAATTGCGTCCAACAAGGCGACTTGAAAAGCAAAATTTAAATATCAATTTTGTAGAATGTCGGCTTAATGCTTTAGCCGCTAGCGTTATTCACAGACGGACAGAGAGAGACGGACAGTCAGACAGGTGAACAGATAGACAAATCAATAGACATTTCCATATCAAGGACCCACAAAACATGGATTCTGGCTACACTGCATGTTAAAGGATTTCCCCTCTACATTTAGCAGCTGAATTTATCCACATTTTAATTACCAGGGCCCTCTAAGAAGGGTATTTCTACCAGAATTTCGCCGTATTTTCGCGCAGCATAACTTTTTTCGTGCACATAACATTCTCCCTTCCGCGGTAGCGGTAGCGAGAAAGTAAAAATATGAACGGGAGCTAATCAAGCAATAGTTCTTTTAAAAGGGGTCGTTGAAGGCAAAAGGTTGGGACTTCCTGTTGAGACAGTCTTGATTATGTAGACAGACGATATCAGACGGATTCGCCAAGGCCGATCCAGAAACAAAACGCTTTCGCCCAGAGATAGTATGTATATATAAGAGAACTGCAGCAGATTACAGACAACAGACTGCCAGTGCACACGTCGCCGTACCGGCAACCAACCTGAGCGTGACTTAAAGTTGGCCCACGCTGGTCAACGAGACCTTGCAGTTTTTACCGCGAGTTGAGGTGTCACTACCTGACGGCTTTCCGGACTCATAGCTAGTCTGGGACACGATTTTGCTGTCCAGCAGCCACTACCAGACCAGGGGAAGGTAAGACCATTTGCTAATAATTTATACCATGTAATTAACACCACGAAAGATTTGGAAACTATTAGTAATTGGAATGTATCAGAGAATTTTCATTGCGCGAGTGATTAATTAAGACTATTTCACGAATAAAATTTCTTAATACAGTCGACTCCGCTTATAGTAAACTGAGATACAGTAAACTCTCGGTTATAGTGACCCCTTGTCACTGGTCTCGTTTCACATACATATCAAATAAGCTTTAGAAGATTCGGTTATAGAGAACCTGAACCTCGGCTCTAGTGATCGTAGGAAATTAATTCACATCTGAACAAAATATGTCGACTCCATGCCACAAATTTTAGTACTAAATGAGTTGGAAAAAATACCGTCGGCCGAAGGTCATAATCCAAGTCATCGCCTCTGAGGTGGAGGTAGCGTCCCCGGAATGTTTCAGTCAGCGGGGCGTTCCATTAGCGACGCCGCTACCGATGTGATCTCGTGTGTTATTTGGCAAGTGAAATGGCCTTCGAGGAGTGCGTGCAAGGGACATTGAAAAGTGTTTTAAGACTACACTGAGATTCTTGTTAGAAACAGTGGACAATACAGAATCAAGTATGGAGAAAGCACGAACTCGAGAAGAATCTAGAGAAATTACCAATGAAAAATGTGCGAAGAAAACAATTGAAAATACTTGATTTTTAAGGTCAAATATGGATATTGAAATTTTTCAGTTGGTGCTGTGAATGGTTTTTGCTACATCTTTATATTAATAAAATTAATCACTGTGGAGAAATTCAATTTAATTTTAACATTTTAGTGAACGTTTGATATAGTGATAGACTGAAATAGTGAACCTTCGAAATTATTATTATTATTATTATTATTATTATTATTATTATTATAGCCCGTTACAATCCCGTAGAGGGCAAGGGCCTCCGATTGTGAGATCGGGTGGGTTACGTAACTGTAGAATTCCCGAGAACCAATTCGTGAACTTACTACTACATACGCTATTTACATACAACAAGTAAATGTAAACGCTATTTACACACACAAAATGAAACACTTCGATATAGTGAACCAAAAATGTTGATCACCAGAAGTTCATTATAACCGGAGTCGACTGTGGTTATAAATTTTATAACTGATAATAACATATCAGCACATGTCCTGATAGCGAAATACTTATTTTTGAGGGATGTAGTTATTAATAATGGAGGAATGCTAGTGTTTGCATAAAATAAAACGTGTGTTAATTGAATAGGGCTGATATGCCGTGCTTGCTATGCGTGTGCACAAGCATGGAAACTGCGCCCCTTATAATGTACTGTGTATTCCATGTGCTTTCATTAAATGAATTAGTTAAATCGTTAAAGTCGTTTTTAAAACCAGTTTTATATGGACGAAACACTTTTCTTTCTTTTCACTACAATTTTCCCAAATTGACTTTTAACAGCCTGCGATTAAAAAAGGTCACATAATTAAAAAAAGTGTACAGTATCAATTTATAACATTTACTAAGCGTTGGAAAAATGTAATGGCCAAGAACTATGCTGTAACTGTTTAAATGTATGCATGTACTTAAATGCATAGATGTAATAGCTTGAAAAATATCAAAACAAACAAAATATAGAAGTTTGCAATTTCCTTGGTTAACTTGCTAGGTTGATAAGTTGAATAGCAATTATTAAACACTATAGTACTGTATTAATATCCAAAAAAGTATTAGTTTATATCAACGCGAACGAAAGGTCGATTTTCATCGACCAAAGACGCATTTCTTTCCAAAAACTACGAGATCAGTGACGGTTTAAAATCGCAACTTGAAAGCTACAAAAGTTTGGCTCCACCGGATGCCATCTTCTTTGGAACCGGTGCTTCACTTAGAACTATTATCAAGCGAAATAACCACGTCAACGGAATTTATTCCGTTCTGAGGATGATGGACAGAGCGTCCGAAAAGGAATTGTTACTGTGAGCAACCTGCCACGATGTGCATTCCGAAGCGGGTAGTGACATATGACGAGCTTACCCAGCGATAAAAAAACACACACCATCGCGAGAGCGAGGGCTTTCGGTCCAGTCATCGGAGCGTGCTGCGGTCACAGCACCGCTCCACTGCGATGAGAGCCTGCGCCAGCCCTTCGACTTAATGAATAATAACTTAATGAATAAGTTACGAGTATGCGCATTATCCGACCCAGACCGACTCACTCCTTGAGATCTCTAGATCTGGCGCAGGAGGCAGATTAGTATCACGTTTGGCACCCACATCTAAATACATTTAGAGCCAGCGACCTATATTCTCCACTAGGTCGATCACTAGGCATTTCGACACATTGTGGGGCCCCGGTAGGTTCGGTACGTACTAGTCACCGGCGTATTTCGTCACAGTATCGATGTACGGAATCATTTGGAAGGAGACTAAAATGCAAGTGTATATACGAATGTCTTATTTTGTCATTACATAAGTATAAAGGAGAATATACATAACAGTCCAGTTGTGTGCGCAGCATGTACCAGGCCGCCCTGTACGCGCGCAGCAACGATGTGCAGCACATGAACGTGTCGCGCGTGCTGCGCGAGTGGGCGGGGCGGCTGCGCTGGTCGCGCGAGGAGCAGGAGGCCGTGCTGGACGTGGGCTGCGGCCCGGGCGACGTGACGGCGCAGCTCCTGCTGCCGCGCCTGCCCAGCAGCGTGCGCGTGCTGGTGGGCCACGACGTGAGCGAGGAGATGGTGCGCCACGCCGCCGCCGCCCACGCCGCGCTGGCGCCGCGCCTGCGCTTCCTGTGCACGGACATCGCCGCGCGCGACCTGCCGGCCACGCCGCTGGGCGCATGCGCACAGCAACTCCAGGGGTTCCACAAGGTCTTCTCCTTCTACGCGCTCCAGTGGGTGACCGACCAACGGTGAGATACGCCATTTTCCTACCCGCTGCCATCGGATCATAAGTGGAATCAAAACACCAAAGCAAATTATACCATGATTTTCATACAATTGTTTTTATCTTACTTGTCCCATGGAAACCTTACGTACTTCGTATCTTCTTTTTCAAATACTAATGTAACTTGCACAGCAAAGCTATTAAATCATACATAGTCAATAAAAGATGGAAATAACTACATACATATACGTACGCTTTCGAATGAAACTAGCACATACTTTTCGCTAATTTTACAATTTTCAAAAATCAGACCTTCACCTTTTATTAAACGTTTTTTGCTCTATTCGCAAATGGTTCTGTGTGCGGAAAATCCATTTCGAGATTACCACAAAAATACACGGTTTGGGATACCCTGAGCCCGAAAGTGTTTTTTTCAAACGTCGTTCGTCTGGGAACAACACCACCGACAAAAATATTAGTAGAATTTGTTCCAAAATGAATATATCCCTGGGTGATGTGTCCCGACTAAAAGATTTTCGATTTTTGAGTATTGAAAATGTGCATTTTGTGATTGTGAATTTTGAGTTTTTTTAATTCAAAATTTTCTCAAGAAAGCTCCAAACTTTAATTTTTGTATACACATTGGAATGAAATAAACTTATAAAGATAGTGTAGGTCCGAGTCTGTTAACTCAAAATTTGCAAACATTGCAAAAGTGAAACTTTTTCGGCATCTTCGTTCTACTAAATTTTTCAAATAAAATTTTATTCATATTTAGTTAATTCATTAATGTTATGTACATTTTCCCTAATTATCATTAGTTTGAAGTTTTTGAGTAAGACATGTGCAATATTAAAAAATTGTAAAGATATGATTTTTACATTCTCGCACTTACGTACGTAACTTACACATACCTAAGAAAATAAAATATTGTATTCCTGTGCCTGAAGAGGCTTAACCCACCACCCTATGTTTTTCAAATTGATTTACCGCAATCGATGTGAATGAACTCGTGGCTTTGGGAGTTTCAAACGTATATTTTACTACTTATGAAACCTTAAAAATGACACGTGAAGAACGTTTAAGGTAATGGTACAGGTGTCATGTTCGTTGAATTCCCTGATTTCTTTTAAAATTGTAGAAGGGATATTTAAATAATGGAGTATGTGTCAGTTTTGTTGAACTTTCTGAACTTTCGAAACTTGCAAATTGAGCAACAGTGCATGAAAGAAAGAGCTTTTATAGCGCCAATAGTTTTAACTTTGTCCTCGAAGAGCGTACATGATCCTTAAGATTATGGTGCAGTTCTCATTTTCTTTGAAATCGTTGGGTTTTTTCGGCCTCTTCTACAACTAAAATATTAAGGATGAACTTTTCCTTATTTTGAATAAAATAACAGAATCACGTCTTTTTACGAGAATGTATGCATCTTTTAATTATTTAAACCAATGTATTACTTAAAAACTACTCCAATTTTTTCTTTAAATCTTCTTGTTGCTAGAATCGAAGAACTGTAAAAATTAGCGTTAGTCCAATTTTTGGCGAATTTCGCGTATTTTAAAAATTTGTAAGACCTTATAATTTTGAAACAATGAAATTGAAGGTAGAGATTTTTGTCTCAAATAAAATGCAAATCATAGTAGCATACTCTTGCAAAATAATATCTTGTCTCAAAATTGGGTAAAGAAAACAGTCCATGAACCTACCTTTAGAATTAAGAATGATCAATGGTGCATTAAAAGTTTATGTAAAAAAACAGTATTTTGTCACTGATAATTATGTCAATGGATGTTGGCAGAACGGCCCTTCGCAACATCAACAGCCTGCTGCGAC